GCTGTGAAATGGCACAGAGATATTACATAGTTCTCACATTCAAACTCTCCATGCAGTCTTCCCCAGAAATACTCATCCTGTGGGGTCCGGGGAGTGGGCATTGGGCCAGTCAGAGACCAATACAGAGGTTCAAGCTAGGGCACCTTAGTGGCAGATGGCACCAGAAAATGGGAGCCACTTGAGGAACGATATGTGAAGGACAGAGCCAGAGATGGCTCAGGAGACAGAAGAGAGGGAAAGTAACACCTTGGAAGCAAGTAGCCATGGGGTCTGGGATTGTCCTGGCAAGACATAATAGGGGCAGAGTGAGAGATGGATGTGGAGAATTTCTGCCAGTGCTAGTTTTTGGGTGATCTGTTTTGCTTCCATCTATATGGCAGGACCCATCTAGATGATATGAGGTACAATAAAAGGGATTTAAGTAGGATATAAGGAAGAACCTGCCCCTTGGGAGGTAGTAGTGGATTCTCCATAGGAAAGAAGAAAATTATGTATTAGATCCTCTCAAACCTGGCTCAGGGATAGATTTTGGGAAAGGACTAGTGAGACCCCCAGGTTCATAGGGTCCAAATTCAGCAATGTGGAGGGATGGAATGGAGGTGAGGCATACCTATTTGCCTTCCAGCTTTCTAGGCACCTCCTACCTTGGTTATTAAGAGTGGTAGACATGAGGCCCTGAGTTTAAACCACAGTACCACCAAAAAAAAAAAAATGGAGGTTGTGACTGTACCTCTCTTTTGAAGAGAGGGCAAGGAAGATACCAAGAATCTACCAAGAATCTAGGGCCTGTCCTAATGCCAGTTACATAGCCTCATGCAGAGCACTCAGTGAAGTATTTACGGTAAGTGAACGAACACTAAGGCAGGTCCCCAGGAGCTGAGGCCTTTGCTGCGCCTTTCCTCAGTGCTCCCTGGTTCTAGTGGCCCAGGACCTTGCTTTCTCCCTGTTAACTAGGGTGGAGAAGGCAGTACCAACCCAGGACTGGAGGAAGAGAGAAACTTCTTGGTCTCCCTGGAACTGTCTAGGCCAGATGATGACTTTAGGACACTGATGGGGCTGTGCTGGACTCGACCTCCACTCCAAGCTCAAGGCCTAAATACGTTTGCCAACCTGCCTGTGCGCGTTCTCAAGCCAGATGGTGAGTATCAGTATAACCCCTCCCCAGCTCTGTCCCACATGAAGGTTCAGAAGCCAGCCTGGTTTGCAAATAGGGGAGGCCCTTTATACTTCTCTCAGCTCCAGAGGAAGTAAGTGAAAAGTACTAGCTAACTGTCTTTCTTCAAAGCTAGAGGCAACAGCAGGGAGGAGTAGGATGCATGCCCAAGCATGACTCTGGAAAGACCTTAAGGAGCCTGGGAAGTGGCCTGGCTCATGGCTCTCAGAACCCTCCAGTCCGGGGCCAGGTTCTGGGCACTGGCTCTGTCCACACTTTGCTGCTGCCTCTGAGAAGCGGGCAGCAGCATCCACTGGGCCACACTGACTCAGTCACCAGTCACCAGGTACCGGCCATCTACCCCAGGCCAGAGCTACCGGATGGCAGGGTGCCAGCGGAGTAGCACAGCTTTCGCGCCTGAGTCCCGGGCAGCAAGGACTGGTGTGGTGAGTGTTCCGGCCTCCCCTGGGTCCCGGATGCCCCTCACCTTGAGCTGGGACTTGGAGACCTTGCCGCTCTTCTCCACGTCCAGCGCGGTGAAGGCATACCAGATGGACTTGAGCAGCTCCTTGCGCAGGGCCATGGCTGAGGAGCCTGCCCTGCCTGGGGGCGGCTCCGACACCAAGATCCGGTTTCAGGAAATGCAAACGGCTGCAGACCGCAGAGGGGCCCTGGTGCGGAGCGAGAGCTCCACCTGCCTGCTCACTTGACTCCCCTGCTGGCCTGTTGCTCCAGCAGTGCTCAGTGGCCCCACTGCCTACATGGGACGCCCTCGCTTTGATGGGCCTGACTCCTTGGGTGTATGCGGCCCTTTTAGAAGTCTCCTTGCCCCAAGCTCCGAGAAGCAGCTCAATGAGGGAAAAAGAAAGTCCATCTTGACTTTGGAGTTAGACAGGCAGGGAGTCACACTTACCAGGTGGGAGGCTTGTATAAGTTACTTAACATCCTTGAGCCGTTTCCTCTTGGTAAGGTGGAAAAACACCAACCTCACAGAGTTGTAAGGATGTTCAAGAAATGGATGTTAAGTATATAGTGGGCTCTGGATAAAGCATTTCTTTTAGTACCATCCAACATAATCCCATGATGGGACTCCACCCAAGCAGAAGAAACAAAGGCAGCACCATAAAGCTGGAGGAGGAACTGGGCCAGGGCACCTCTCCAGGTCAGCAGACTTGGCACTTCATTTGCTGATTTCCCCTTCCCTGGGCATTGGCTCTAAAATCACTCAGATCTCTGCTCACTCTTGGCCCAAAGACTTTGAAGACACCAATGATGGCATCTGAAGTACACAGGGTGAGTCATGCCATGGGCCCCCACCTCAGGGCAGGGAGACTCAGGGCCTTCTGCATCAGTGCTTCTGTTTCTTTAGATCCAATGCCTATGAGGGCTGGGAATCACCCACACCAGTGGTCATGGCATGTTGATGAGGCCTGCTCAGGCTAATTATGAGCCCCAGTCCCTGGTAGCACGCTCCAGCCCCTCTGTTTCCATGGGGCTGGTGTCAAGAGTAATGGGAGCTTTCTAGGCAACCTAGGAGAGGTCAAGGGAAGAGCTCCAGTCTCAAGGGGCAGGAAGGTGCACAGTGAAGAGAGAAGAAGGAGAGAGGAAAAGGGGCACCTCCAATTCCTACAATGTTCCTATCTAGGTGGGGTCAAACCCATAGCATCTTTCCATGAGGTGTCTCCTCCCCCTCTTCCTGCTGTGGGGCTGGTCTGCACTTACCACTTTAGTGGGATCAGCTTATGGCTTTGGAATCCTATTGCATGGTCCTAGACACCTAAGTCACCCCTTTCAGATCTGGGTAATGGAACAAGGACTTCAACATCAGAACAGTGAGACATGAGGACCCCAGTAACACTAGCCAAGGCACCCCAGCCACTAGAACCTGGGTCTTTGCCCTCTTGGACAGTTGACTGTGTGCAGTAGAGGGGAGCCAGGGCTGGAGGGGCTCAGGCTATCTTCCACAAAGGCAAGGCAGAAAAACCCAATGTTCTTCCAGCCTATCCATCTTGAGGCCTAAGATTTAGCCAGAGCCTGGAAGCAGCGGTCACTCTGGTCCTGTCTAGGTACCCTGCAGCCCAAGTGTTCAAGTGTGGACGGGAAGCCACTAGCAGCTCCTTAGGGAGCTTACGGTGGGTCTCCCTCCCTTCTGGGCCCCAGGTAGGCGAGCCTACCAATCAGGCATTGAGGCTGAAAGGGTTTGTCCCAAGGACATAGGAGTGAAAGCTGACTCAGCCCTGCCATCAGGGCTGAGAGCTGAAAGGATGGAAGAACCCAGGTGGAAACTTGGAACTTTTATTAAATATTCATTCACCCATTTGCCACCATCACCCAGAGCAGGAAAAAAAATAATTATCAAAATGTAATTTAAAAAAACCAAACCACAAAACAAATTAAACCCCATCCCCAGCAGTCTATGTACAGGCCACTCCCTGCCTCTCTGCCACAGAGAGGTTGGGGGACAGCTGGGTGGGTGGGGTGGGAGCTGGGTACTTTTACTCCAGCCACAGGCCCCTGAGGAATTAATTCTGACTGTGGTGGCAGAAAGTCCCTAGTGCCAATTGGCCAGGCATCTTGGCTGCCTGAAGGAGGTGGTTATTGCTGGGAAGGGTGGCACTGGCCCACTCTGCCCCCACTGGGCTGAAGAGCTATTTGCCCTTTCCCCTGGTGGGCTGTGACCAGTCAGGGTAGAGGTCAGTGTCCATCTAGCCCCCATCTCCACCAGAGATGGGGAGTGGACTGAAGCGGGAAGGGGGTTCTCCAGAGGAAAGAGAGTAGGTGCCCAGTGTGGCCTGCTGGTCAGGCTGGTTCTTGGTTCTCCTCAGCTCTCGCTGCCTGCTGCCTGGCCTCATCTTGGACAGGGTTCCCCTCCCCTTCAGTTAGGCCACTTTTCTGCTACCTTCTCACCCCAGAGGACTATGTGGCCACCTTCCATGTGTCAGCCACAGCTGGGGCCCTTGGAGGCAGGGCTGCCTGTGAGCATGGCACTTCCTCCAGCACGGTGCGGGAGCCAGCCCTCCTGGGTTCAGCAGCCGTTCTCTGACACTGTGGTCTCCAGGGTTACAGCCCCTTGCTGCATGGCAGCGGTGGCCACACTGATGGCCTCCTCTAAGGACTGCTGCTCCTCCAGCTGCAGAGAAGGGATGCAGAAGGAAGCAGTGCATGAGACACTCCCTCTCAGATCCTTCAATTAGTAGTTAGTATGTGGTCACTTCTTCGAGTCTCCTTCACCTACCCAGGACCACATGCTGCACTCATAGTAAGGCTCCAATAAACAGGAGGTTCCCTGATAAAGAGCCCTATTAGGCTGGCCCAGGGTCAGAGAGACTGGCTTGCTCACAAGAGTGACTGGCTGGAGAGGATCTTAGAGACCATCTACTTCAGCCTTCTTATCTCCAGGTGAAGAAACAGAGACAGGAAGAGATGAAGGACTTGGACCACAGGTAGGCTGCCATCAGAAGGGGCTTCCCTATTCTGCCTTAGCCAAGAATGTGCTCAAGACAGATGTGTAGGTGCAGACAGAAAGGGACTCGTCCTCTGAAGTGGGCTCTTTTTGAACCTGATGCCCTTCTCTTCAAGATCCCATCCAATTTCTCTCCACCATCCCTTTCCTAGTCTGGGATCCGGTTCCTCCCACACTTCAACTCACCTGCACTGCAATGTGTGTTCCATTGGCTGTGGCCAACAGCGCCACCTGTTGATGATGAAGGGATGCAACACTTGAGTCCTCGGCCACCACAGCCCCAGAGGTAATGATTGTGACCTGAAACACAGAAGGAAGGAAGATCTTCCACCCACCTGCAGCATCCTCCCTCTCTCCACTCCAAGTAAAAATTCCTCCACATAAGGTAGCTGAGAGCAACCCAAAGGGACTGAATGAAACCATTATGGATCCAATTAATCAGATTGAGGCTCAGAGCTAAATAAAGTTGGGTTTTTCTCCAACTTAACAGCCCAGAGTTTTGTTTTTTTGGTGGGGGATGGGGAACAGAGGATTGAACCCAAGGCTTTGGGCATGGTAATGCAAATGCTCTGACACTGAGCTACACTCTCAGCCCCCAGAGATTTTGAAGCAAAGGACAAAGCTATAAGAGACTAAAGAGATAGTTTAACCTCCTCAGTTGAAACTGGACTCAGTGACCTGCCTACAGTGGCAAAGCAAATTATGAGTAGACTGAGATTTAGAAACTGACTCTTGACCCCAACGGCTTTAAAGATGAGAGTTGCCAAGGGGCCAGAGAAACTGGGGAATCTCTGTCCTTGTGAAAAGGCTTGACTAGTTTGGCCCTTAATGCCCACCCTGTGGAAAAGACAAGAGAAAAAGAATCCCCTCTCAAGCAAACTGCCTGATCATACGGGCTGCGTCTGGGTGCCGTCGGCGCTGACCATGGTGACAGTATGTGTGCCAGATGTGGCCAGGTCATTGTCATGACTGGGGATGGTGAGGGTAGTGCTGCCATGCTGGGTCACCACACTGATGGCACTCCCCAGGACCTGCAGGTCTTCTGGGGACAGGCTGACCTGTAATAGGAGGGGAGAAGATGAGCTGGATGCCAGAGGAGGGTTATCTGAAAGCTCTCAGGAGTGTGTATGCTTTCCTAGAAGGCTAGCTTTAGGGCACTATGGCAGGAAGGCCAGGGGACAGGCGAACAAAATGGGGTCAAGGCTGCAGAGAGGTACACTAATAGAATTCTGCTGCCCACTTCTATTCACCACCACTTTGCCTCTGGGTTCCACTGCATGCAGTTTGGGGTCACTACCTAATTTTGTCCTCTGACAACGCTAGAAGGCAGAGGTGTATTGAACAGTGAGGGTGTGGCTGAGGGGTAGGTTACACTGCTGGCCAGTGCCACTGGTGGGCTTCCAGACCCCTGCACCTGCATGCCCCTCTTGAGAAGAATATCCTCATTCAGATGATGAGGACCTGTCAGCTTCCAAGAGGGAAATGACTAACTGTACTCTGGAAGGCAATACTGAGCTGGAATTAGCAGAAAGAGGAGGGGCTAAATTTGGTCCCCTCGGCCTCAGTTCTTTGAGGTCCACAAAATGGGAATCTAGGTGGAGGTGGGGCCATCAGAACTTCAGGGGTCCCTAGAATCCCCAGAGAGAGTGGTGTGGCATCTGGACTGCCTCACCCATCCCCAGGCTCTCTACCTGCTGGGCACCATCCTGCGTGATCAGAGCCACCTGGGGAGCCCCATCCTCCTCGGTCACCATGGCCACTTGGGCTGGGATGTCATCACCTTCTTCCTTCATCTCCGAAAGGTAAGCAATGCGGGCTCGTTTGGGTGGTGGGCTTTCCTCAGATGCAGAGGCAGCTAGGAGAGGAGAACCCAGGATGCCACTTGCCACTAAATGCTATGGGAGGCCTGGCTTGCCCCACCTGCTTCCCCTGCCCACTCCCTCACCCTCAAGCTGCTGCTGCTCGTAGAGGGCCTGTTCGCTCTCCTCAGTGGCCTCCAGCTCTCCATGGGCACTGCGCTTGTGCATGGCCAGGGTGGAAGTTTGCCGGTAGGTCTTGCCACAGGTGCTGCAGGTGTAGGGCTTGCAGTGCGTGTGCACCACATGGTGCTTGTACAGGCTCGAGTACTCAGTGAAGCGCTTCCCGCAGCCTGGCACCGTGCAAACATATGGCTTCTCCCCTGGGGACACTGGGCTGTGAGGGGGTGGGAACTGGGGCTGGCAAGGGGGAAACTAAGGGGACAGGGATAGGGGACAGGGTTGGTGAAGGGAGAGTCAGAGGAAGATGGGCTGAGACCTGAGACTCTGAAATGGACAGAGCTGGGGAAGATGGCCAGTGGAAGATAGAGAGGACATGGGTGTAGGGCCTCTAAGTCCAGAGACAAGGTAGACAGAGAATGAGGGAGGGGGGGCAGGCTGGAGTTAAAGAAGGGGTGGGATCACCAGGGACGTGGAAGGTTTGGATGGGTGGGTTGACTGTGGTGAACAGAAGAGCAGGAGAGAGTGGGACAGAGACTGAAGTGTCAGGTACAATGGGGACACATGGCTAAGAGATGACAGAAGGCTGGGTAAGGAACGTGACACTGGGGAGGGCGAGGAGTCATATGCACTGGATGAGGTAAGGAGTTGAAGGTGATTTTCACTCTGCTTCTTTCCTACCATTCCTGACCCTGGCCTTTTCAGGAGTTCTGCTGGAGGGGGAGAATTCAAGGGGGATACAGGAAGGTGGCTGGGAGCTGATGGACCCCAAAGGTTGGTAATACCTGACTGAATGAACCCAACTGCAAATAGAGGAACTGCTCACTGCAAGTGAAAGAGTGGTTCTGGGGATACCCACCCCTAGACCAGCCTGAGTAGACAGTAAAAAAAGGGCTAGCAGTTGAGAACATATCTCAGATTGGAAGCCTACAGTAGAGGGATGTGGGGCCTCAGGGGGGTGGTCCTTGCATGCCAGCTGGCCCACCTGTATGGATGCGCACGTGATTCTTGTAGTTGGTGGCACTGGTGAAGCCACGGCCACAGTGGGGCTCAGGACAGGTGTAGGGCCGCTCGCCTGTGTGGGTGCGCACATGTACCTTGCGGATATTAGATGTGGTAAAGGAGCGGCCACAGCCCTCAAAAGGGCACCGGAACGGGCGTTCACCTGTGCAGATGGGGGTATGAGGAGTGGCTCAGGAAGGGTGGCCACGCTGGAGCAAAAAAGGGGATGGCATGGGGCTCTAGGGCTAAGTCTGAAACGTAGGCAAGACCCAGCCTACCAGTGTGGGTCCGGACGTGCTTCTGCAGGTCTCCTGATGTCTTGAAGGCCTTGTTGCACAGCTCCTCTGGGCACTTGTATGGTTTCTCACCAGTATGGGTACGAACATGGCTCTTCAGTCCGTAGCCTGTCCGTGTGCGGTGGGGGTGAGAAAAGCAGCCAGTGGGACCTTGTCCTCTACTGCCCACTTCATTTAGAGGCTCTCCATCTTAATCTGTGTTCTGAGAGGCTGCAGAGGCCCAGATCAGTCTCTATCCCACCCTGTCAGGGCAGGTAAGAGGGGTTTTAGAAAAGCCCCTCTGCCTCCTTCCCTCTTCAAGAGCAGCTGGAGACATTCTAGCTGTAGCTGTGGCTATAGGTCCTTATTTCACAGAGGGAAAGCAGCCCAGAGGTTCTGTGCCCCTCAGCAGCCGTGGCTGACATCTGTCAGAGCTGATCCAAGCAAGATGTAGGTCTCTCCACCTCCACCCCAGCTCCATCTGCTGTCCTGGCCCCACAGCCTTTCACCTCTGCAGCAGAGTTTTCTTCTGAGGTAGCACCCTGCAGGCTGAAGCACTCTACAGCAGCTTCTCTGGAAAGGCAGCTCCTTCTAGTAGGGCCCAAAGCTGATCTAGAATCCTGTGCCCTCAAATGGAAGCAGTCCATACTCAGTACCCCTCTAGGTAGGTTACCTGTGGCAAAGGCCTTTCCACAGCTGGGGAAGTCACACCTGTATGGTCGGTCACCCGTGTGAGCACGTTCATGCACCTGTGAGGACAAGCAATCACATAACTCAGAAGGGCCACGGTCTGAGCTGGGTTCTCTGGTTCTCTTTCGGGCCCTGATTCTCTTCTGTCCTGCACTGTTTGTGTGTATCACAGTCTCCTGTGCTGATGCTTCTGTATATGTGTCTCTTCCTGACTGACAGGTATTGTACGACTTGAGGGCAAGGACCAGTCCAATGAAAGCAGAAAGGCAGAATATTACAACCTAGCAGGGAAGAGTGCAGAACTGAAAGCTGCCTACTGGCCATCTTACCTTTAAGTGATGGGCGGTCGTGTAGAGACGTCCACAGCCCTTGTAGCCACAGCGGAATGCTCTGTCTCCAACCTGTTGCCCTTTTCCATTATGGGGAGTTTGGCTGTCATGCAGAACCTGAAGAAAAAATCTGGGGGTCCCTATATATATTCTCCCCATTGAGGAGAAGGGAGGAATAAGCTATAGGGCCCAGTTGGCAGCCAAGAAACAAAGTTAAGATGGTCAGAAGACTCTGGGGCAGAGAGACGTACTCAAACAAACAGGAACGGACATTCAGCACACTATAGGAAAACAGTGCTGGCATACGGACTCACCATTCATCACTGATGGATGGAGATAGTACTAAATGTCATAGGGGCTGTGACAGCTTTTGAAAAAAGACTATCTCCTAGACAGCAAGGTAAGGTCGGTAGCAGTGTTGTTGGATGGCCACACTTGAGCTAAGCTGAGTACCCTTTTAACCACATACAAGTAGAAGGAACTCTTGACATGCCCATCTCCTAAGGGCGGGACTTCTTCCTCTTAATGGAAGGCTACATTCAGGAGGAGCATGAGCAGGGGGCTGACTGTGAGGATGGGGGTCCAGAATGAGGTGGCCACAGCCAGAAGCACCCAGAAGAGGGGGTAGGGCTGAGAACTGACTGACAGGTTCTTCTGTTTTGTCCTCTTCTGGGGATATGGCTAGGGATACTACTAGAGCCACCTGTTTGACATCAGCCTCTGGCCACGGGAGCCCTATTGCTCTTGTACTTCCCTAGGCAAGGTCCTAGGGGGACTGTCCCTTAATCTGTCTGTCTGAAGTACTGAAGGATCACACTGTTGTCTCTCCAAGAGCTTCTGAAACAGGGCTCTGGAAGACATGGTTAGCAGAGGACAAAAGGTTGAGGCCAAATTCACTGTGAGTTCATCTAGTTAGGCTCCTAGTCGGGGGTCAAGCAGCTGGCAAAATTTCATGGACACTTAAGCAACTGGGTGGAGAGGGAGAGTTACAGGTGGCCAGGCCTGCCTGGTGGGCAGGCCAACTCACACTCAGATTTCATTGGTGTGTCTCACCAGCTCCAGGGGTAACTGAGGGAACTGAGGGTCATCAGGGCTGGAAGTGATCTCTGAGATCATCTGGTCTCATATCAGAATATTAGAGAGGAACAGCTCAGGCCTGGAAGGGACTAAGTTGCACTGGCCTCAGGGCTTCTGATTTTTTTTTTTGAGACAGGGTTATCTTATGTAGTCCAGGCTGGCTTTGAATTCACAATCTCCCTCCTTCAGCTTTCTGAGTGCTGCTGTTATCGGTGTGCACTACCTGGCCAGTGCTCATGATTTAAACAAAGCCCAGTTCTCTTTCTATTGTAGCTGGTCTCACATTTGAACTCTAAAATGCCTCAGGGAACAGGGACAGAAATGGGCAGAGCCCAAAATGGCCTGCTTTAAAGTTTTATGCTTCATTTTGAAGAGACATGAAGATTTCCCCTTTTCCTCTACCACACAGCCACTTTTGTTTTATAAAAACTCCTCCAGTTTTTGGGTAAACCAGTGCTTCAGAAAGCTCTGACACATCCACTCTGAGGCTGTGCAGTCCAACCTGGCCCAGGGCAGAGCACTCTGATTTGGAAACCCCCGGAACCCCCACAGATCCAGCAGAGGGCACTTAGAATGACTGATGTGGGGAGAGCCAGGACCCTTCTTCTTTTCAGCTGAGTTACTGAGGGCCTCATGTTCCAGGAATCCTAGCTGCTCTGCACATGCCCTGGTTACTGCCTACTGAGCTTATTTTCCCAATGACTAAATTAGTTGGAGAGAAGCAATAAATATAAGTGGATGGGAAAACTAATAAAAGACACTGGCAAGAGCTTTCCCAAAGAACACAGAGGATTATTACAGCAGCCAAAGGGAAGCTGGGCCTAACTTCCTACATGAATGCCGCTGTTCCTTACAGCAGCCTTCCCTCTGCAGAGACAGTGGGTAAGTGCCAACAGCTGTGAGCGGCCCAGCCAGGCTGTGTGCCCTCAACAAGGGTGTGGATGTGAAACATGATTCGGGGAGTTGGGCTGGAGGGGCAAAGGAAGTAACCTAGGCCATGGCCAAGCACAGGGCTGCCCTGTCCTTCAGAAAGGCGAAGATGCCCCACTGTCCCAAGTGATGGAAGGTTGGGCTCTGCACACTCACCTTGCTCGCATACTGCTCCAGGGCCACCACTGTGTCTGTGCTGAAGGCCTCATCATCCTCTGCAACCAGGTCCTCCAAGCCCACCTCTGTCTGCACAGCCAGGATGGTGCCATCTGGCGGCACAGTGACAGGGTGGTGAATATAGGCAGTGGAGCCATCTTCCAGCTGAACAGCTTCCAGGGCGCCGGGGTCATAGCCCTCTGCAGGGAACACATGCTTAGCCCTGACGCCACAGAAGGGGAGGAGATCCAGCTGGGATGCTGGCTTTAAGTTAGTGAGCAGTACATACACAAGGAGGGTTTCAGCACTGCATCTCACCAGGCCCCTCACTGTGGTGATTCCCTCTTTCTGGCCCTCCTGCTGCGGCTGTCTCCCCTACAGACAAGGTCTCCTATGGTGCCCTGATTGGAACTCACTAGCTTCTTGAGGACCTGACAGGAGATCGTCATCATCTTGGCCTAGATAACCCCAAGACCTTCCTGATCAGTTGCCCCTAACCTCCTCTAGTTCCTGCAGGCAGCATAGCATCCGTAGAGACCTTAGCAGGACACAAAGATGAACATGTCACCCAACTGTCTGGTCTTAGGACAAGACCAAAACCCTATCCTGACAAGCCTTTCTTGCTTTGGCTTTCTCTTATCCCTTTGGACCTCTCTCCCTGTCTTTTTTTTTTTTTTTGGCAATACTGGAGTTTGAACTCAGGACCTCACACTTGCTAGGCAGGTACTCTACCACTTAAGCCACTACACCAGCCCTACCAGCAGTTCCTTAAATGTGTTCTTTCTCCCCCTGCCCCACACCTGCACATGCTAGTACTGTCTGGAGTACTGAGCCCACCTGCCACCCATCTTCCCCTATCTAAGTACATCCCTGTTCAGCTCTCAGCTCCAGCAGCACCTCCTCAGCTCCCTGAGCCTAATGCTCACTTGTAACCATCAGTTCATCAGTGATGGCTCACTTAACTCTCTTCCCTCACTAGACTGTAGGTGAGCGGGCCTATGTCTAACTGTTCTCTATTGTATGCTCCACACCTAGCACAATGCTTAGTGTGAAGCAGTTGCCTGAATAGCTAATTGTAGGACTAAACTGGTACTCTATAGCATGTTAGGAGCTTCATTCTTAAATAGTTCTTTGTTTCTTTCTCCTGGTCTTGGATGATGTCCCCAGGTCCTATTAAAAGCCCTAAGGCTTTGTTGCTATGCTGGAGCCAAAGCCAGTATCAAAGCTCATACTGACCCCAAGGCTCAGCCTCCTGGTGATAGAGGCAGCTACTCCTGTGATCTGCACCAGGAAAGGGGGTGGTTAGGCTGTTACTGGTGAGTGTGTTTGTGCCTTGGGGGCGACAATGCCTATGGCTATACTCCAACTCCCACTCATCTCCCCAGCCCCTTTGAGTTCTGAGTCCCTTCCTTCCCCACCATTCGTGATGACCCTGACCCCACCTTTGGGTGTGCGGTGTATATAGGCCACACTGCCATCTTCCAGCTGCACAGGCTGTCCATCCTCAAAGGAGAGAGATTCTGTAATGACAGCAACGCCAGCCTTTCTCTGGAGCTTAATGCCATGAGAGGTCATAGATGGGGGGGTGCCAGGCCTCCCCCCATATGGCAAGGGTTTGTTGAGGGTGCTCTCACCTTTCTGTACTGTCACTTGGTGAATATATGCAGTGGTTCCATCCTCAAGCTGAATCACTTGCCCTTCAAGAAGCTTCTCTCCTGTGGAGGTAGAAGCAGAAAGAAATAGGCCAGGCCTAAAGAAAACTAAGAGGCACCTGACTGCTCAGAGGCCCGAGCACTAGACTGTGGCCTAAGCACAGGTAACAGCTGCCATGTTTCTTTGCTCTCTGCCTTCTAGGCCTGGGCCTGGAGGCACTGAGGGTGAAGCATTCTGCCATGCAGGAACCTTATGCCTCCCAATGGATCCCTTTCCTACTACTCACCCAGGAGCAACCTCCATTATTATTCCATCCGTGCTCAGCAAAGTGGGAACTCCCAACCTAACAGTAAGTTTCTGAGATTGAACTAAATGAAGAGCTAATAATGCCCTAAATCTGGAAAGCTCCTACATGGTAAAAATTCAGATGTAGCTCAAACTAATGAAACCAAAATATATTCCCTTGTTTCTCCCTGTGGCAGCGTGCCAATCCCTGAGCCTTTGATAAGGCAGGTGATAATACTGTAGTTAAAAGCAACAGGCTCTAGAGTCAGAACAAGCCTCCTGAGTGTTAACTCTAGGCCTACCTCTTACTAGCTGTGTGAACTTGGACAATTTATTTAGCCTTTCTGTGTCTGTTTTTCCTTTTTTTTTTTTGCCGGTACTGGGGAGTTGAACTCAGGGCCTTGTGCTTGCTAGGCAGCTGTTCTACCACTTGAGCCACACCCCAGGCCTTTTTGCTTTAGTTATTTTTCAAATAGGTCTTGCTTTATGCCTGGGCTAGCCTGGACTTTAATCCTATTTATGCTATAGAATCCTACAGAAGGGATGACAGGTGCATGCCACCACACCTACCCATTGAAATGGTGTCTTTTGAACTTTTTGTCCATCTGGCCTTGAGTCTTGATCCTCCCACTCTCTGCCTCCTAAGTAAGTAGGATTAAGGCATAAGCCACCACACCCAGCCCCAGTTTCCTCTTCTTAACAACTGTCTCTTCCTTATAGGGTGGCTGTGAGGGTTAAATGAGTTAACTGGGAACATGCTGGGTACATGGTCATCCCTCAACAAGCTTTAGCTTTCATCGAAATAAGGCCATGTGCATTTTGAAAGAAAGGGGTAGTAAAACAATGGGGAGTTATGTAAATGAGACTATTATGTTATTATGTGTCCATCTAGGGCTTACCCACTGCCACAGTTGAGTCACACTTCCTTAATTCATCTGTGGTATTTTCAAATAAAAAAACTGACTCACATAAGACAGCATAAGCAGTATAAAAATTAAGATTCTAGCCTAAGTACACCCTTCCCTTGTCTTACTGGAAAGCACTTTTTTTTTTTCAGCTTCACTCAGAAAGCACTTTTAACAGGCTCTTGGAATTAGAATTCCATGCCTCCCACCCCACCCGTGTCCAGTAAATCTGACAGGAAGGAAGAAAGGAAGTGAGAAAGGGAAGAAGGAAAGAGAGATTAAAGAGTTCGTGACAAGTGATTTGTTTGTCCTTTCTTTAGAAGTTTCAGGCTTAGGACTTTGAGCCTTGTAAGGCAGGAAAAGGCAGCAACTTCTGGCCCAGCTTTCTGCTGACGGTCTCTTCAGGGGAAACCCCAAACTTGCCCCTAGACGGAGTCTTTTTGGGGTCTGTAAAATCTCAAGTCTTACAGACTGGCCAAAGCAGGTGAGGTGGAGATAGAGGTAAGAAGCAGGACAGGCTGCTGAGATGAGGGAGCCCCACTCGCTTCCCTCCTGCTCTGTGAGCAGGCAGGCCATCCTCACTTTCCACTGTGTCTATCCTGGCAAGGACCCCAGCAGAGCTATTGCCAGCTTCAAGGCAGAAGATGAAATGTTGAGAACAGGTGCCTCCTCTAACAACCAGACACTATGATGAAGAGAGGCAGGTCTGGAGAAGAACTGCTGATAGGGTACATATCCCATTCTGGAGGGGTGACCATACTTCCCTTTGCCTGACCAATCCCAGGGTATTTATTAATAGTACACTCTTCCACTCTCAAAAGTTTCGGGTTTGAATGATCACCCTAGTTAAAGGTGAATCTCATACAATTTTAGGGCTGCTGTGCGGTTTCACTGACCCGGACAGCTGCCTGCTGACGGAGACAAAAGTGCCTCTGTAAAAAGCTTCAGAGGAGCCCGCGCATCAGCAGCTCCCCAGTGGGAAATGTGGTGCATGTCTGTGCACGTGCACATTGCAACATGATGGAGGCAGGGGACAGAGCCAGGAGGAGTGATGGAGAAAGATACAGAGAGGTGGAGGAGGCAAAGAGACTCAAATGTAGATGTTAGAAAAAAGTGGCTTTATAAGGCCACATGTGTCACTTGCTGTTTATGTTTTTTTTTTTTTGGTGGGACTGGGGTTTGAACTCAGTGCTTCACATTTGCAAAGCAGGTGGTCTACCACTTGAGCCACAGCTCTAGTCCATTTTGCTCTGGTTATTTTTGAAGATGGAGTCTCTTGAACTATTTGCTTGGGCCAGCCTCAAACTAAGATCCTTCTGATCTCAGCCTCCCAAGTAGCCAGTATTACAAGTATGAGCCACTGATGCCCACCCAGCTTGATTGATTGATGGTCTTTTTGAGACAGGCTCTTGCTATTTCTGAGGACAGATGTGTCATTTGCTGTAATTTATTTATTTATTTATTTTGAGACAGAGTCTTGCTATGTAGCCCAGGCTGGCCTTGAAACTCATGATTCTTCTGTCTTCCTGCCTCAGCCTCCTAGGTGCTGGGATTACAGACCTGTGCTACTGTGCTGAGTGGTCATTGCTTTTTATTTGTTCAGGCACTAATTCTCAATGGAAGACTGAGCATGGGTATTAACAAGGTCTAAGAAGAAAACACAGCCCTACCTAGAGATCCCAAGTTCTTCCTCCACAGAGACAGAGGGACCAGACCTGTGGTGGGAAGTTAGAGGGTTTCAGGCTTCAAAAGTATTCTAGAGAAAGAACATTCCCAAGAGAATGAAGCCAGGCAGGACACACATCACAGATGGCTCATGACAACATCCCTTCCCAGAACATCTCCACCAACTTCTTATGGAAAGAGCTCTGAGGAGATTAAGGGGCATCTTTAATTATCATTAGGAAACAGACAATTTTATTTGTTTGTTTATTTATTTATTTATCTGAAGAAATGGTGACCACAGTACTATTTATTTCTTAAATGAGAGCTTTGGCTTTTGTCCCTGAAGATCATCAATGTGAATTTAAGTCATGGGGACTCCACCTCCTAAGGTACTTTAATTCAAAGCATGCTCAGTGCCAGGCACTGGTGAGTAGGGAAGAAAGCAATGGAGGTCTCCAGGGGCCACCAAAATGATAGTCTCCTCCACCCACAAGGATAGCACAAGTGTGTGCATCCATCCTCCACCCATACCCCAGCCTGGCAACATTCACACACACCCACAGTGGTTGGGATTGGATTGAAAATGTGAGGACATGATGCAGCCCACTACGTACCATATGGGCAACAACTGCTTACTGACAATTAGAAATGAAATCAATAAACAACTGATCTGTAAACCTAGGAGCAGAAATTTACTTTGGCACCAGGTGCTGGTGACTCAAGCTTGAAATCCTAGCTACCAGAAGGCAGAGTTCAGGAGGATCTCAGTAGTAAGCCAGCCCACGGAAATAGTTCACAAGACCCTATCTTGAAAATACCCAACATAAAAAGGGCTGGTGGAGTGCCTGCCTTGCTGGCATGAGGCCCTGAGCTCAAAACCCTCTCCCCCACAACCCCAACAAAAAGAAATTTACTTTGGCAATGTATTGAAATGAAGGAGGGCAATGTTGCAATCTCAATGTTATCATGAAGAGAGTGATGTTCACGGAATCCAGAAGAGGTCAAAGGAAGTCTAGGGATTAAGGCAGTGTTTGCCTAGTGTTTGCCAAGGAAGACACGAACACCACCTGGCGTTCCTGAGAATGCAGGTAAGAAAGGAGAAGTGTCCCTGCCTGCAGGCCCTGCCCTCAACAGCACTCTTTTCTGACTCCACACCTACCTAGATTTGAAATTCTTGAGAGTGGGGTGAAATACAAGATTCTGGGGCTGGCAGAGTGACTCAAGTGGTCAGAGCACCTGCCCTGCAAGCATAAGGCTCTGAGTTCAAGTACCACCAAAAAATAAAAGATTCTCAGTAAATCTGAACTTCAGATAAATGAAAAATTGCTTTTACTATAGGCTAAGCATCTATAGTCTAAAATGTAACATGCTCTGAAATCCAAGAATTTCAGATTAGGGATGTTCAGTGGGTTAAGTCTATACAAATATTACCAAATCAAAAAATCTCCCAAATCTAAAATATAATTGGTCCTAAGCAGTTTGGACAAGGATTACCCAGTCTATACTTAGTGTTATCAGGGTTTTGTTGTTTTTGGCAGTACTGGGGTATGAACCAGGGTCTTGCGCTTGCTAGATAGGTGTTCTACCACTTGAGCCATGCCCCACAATTCCCGCATAGCTGGGATGACAGGCATATGCCACCATGCCTAGTTTTTATTTGCTGAGATGGGGGTCTCATGAGCTTTTTCCCCTGCCTGGCCCTGAACCTTGACCCTCCCTGAACCATGATCTTACATCTCTTCCAGAGTAGCTAGGATTATAATAAGCATGAGCCACCGTGCTCATGTATTTTAGTATTTTTTAGTGTACCCCATGCAATGTTGGGGATGCACTTATACTGTAAAAGTATTTTCTGTTTATCTGCAATTCAAATTTAACTGTGACTCTGTATTTTTATTTCCAGCACCTACTAGAGCTTGCAATTAAGACATGAGTGTTATGCTTTGGTGCCCTGTTCTGAACCTAGCAGAGTATCTTATGCAGGTAGAAGCTCACCAGGTAGTCTGGGTACTTAAGCTTACTTGAATTAAGATGGTGCACTACCTTTAGAAAGCACGAGACACTGGACAGGGAAGGTCTGAAGAGCAGGAAGTCACAGCTATATTGTGTGCATCTATTCCAGAGATATTTATCAACTATCAGCACATGGAAGAAAGTGTGCCTTGAGGCCTTGGCTCCCACAGCTGGGGTAGTCTGCTTTTCTAGCTTGCCTGGATGGCGTTTTATTTTAAAGAGTCCCCCTTTCACCAAGAATATAGGATTCTTATGCACAGCAAGCTGTGCTGGCGGAGACGGGGGGCAAGCAGGCAAGAGGGCAGGGTGGTGAGACTTAGGAGTGGATGCCCCTTTCCAGAGGATGAAGGACAAGATTCTGAGGTCCCTGAAAATCCTCACCTTTCACAGCTTGCTGGACATAGGCTGTTGTTCCGTCACTGAGGGTCACCGTCTGCAGCCCCAAGCTCTCCATGGCAAACTGCCACTCGTGCGCTCAGACATGAAGTTGGCTTCTGGCCAGCACTAAGAGCCACAACTGAGACCAGAGATTTCCTTCCGGGTCACAAATCTGAGAAAATGGACAGTGTCACATAAACAGTTACATTGCTTTTCCCTTGTGCAAGCAGTTAATGAGGCCAGCCAAGAATATAGACAAATTTTTCAAAGTAGAGAACTATGTTGGTTTTTGTGAAAATATACACTTAGGAATTCTAAAAGGTAAGCACAAAAGAGAAGCACCCCAGTCAAACTGGTTGTAAAGTAAGAATTCATGGATCAAAACCCACTTTTAAACTTGCTCTCCTTAGGAGGGAGCCCTGTTATAGGCAGGCAGCCTACCTCACTGCTGCCTGTCCTCACTGCCCACATCTTGCCTGTGCCCAGACCCATCCACCCGATGGCATTGCTGGCCATCCTCAGGGAACATGCCATGGCAATATAAATGGACGAGTCCCTAACAGAACTCACAATGTCCCCTGCTCACCAGAACTGTTCTACTTTCCCCAGTATCCACATCCTGGGGATGGCATCTCCATCCACCCAGAAACAGTGGGGTCATCCTTGAGTCTTCCTTTTCCCTTAAAGTCCAGCTACCAATTTCAGGTGAGTATCACTTCTCACCTCTCACTTGTCAGAGCCTCCTAACTATGTCCTATGTCCTCAGATAAATTCTTGCCCCTTTCCAATTCATTTTTTTCCTTTTCTCCCCCCAGTACTGGGGTTTGAACTCAGAGACTACACCTTGAGCCACTCCATCAGCCCTTTTCTGTGAAGGGTTTTTCCAGATAGAGTCTTGAGAGCCTCTGCCTGGGCTGGCTTTGAACTGCGAGTCTCTGATCTCTACCTCCTGAGTAGTTAAGATTACAGGTGTGAGCCACTGGTGCTTGGGGGAACTTAGGATCTTGCACACCTAGTCAGGTGCTCTACTTCTTGAGCCACCCTACATCCCCTTTTTGCTTTAGCTGTTTTTCAGATAGCATCTCACTGTTTTGCCTGGGCTGGCCTTGAACAGTGATCCTCCCAATCTCTGCCTCCTGGGTAGCTGGGATCACAGGCATGAGCCACTGTGTCCAGCCTCCAACTCACTTTCTAACATGCTATGAGGGTGGCCTTTAAACACAGAACTCTAACTACACTACTTGCTGATTAAAACCTTTCAGTAGCTTCCTTACACCCTTACAGTCCACCTTGCAGGCAAGACCAGTCCTATTATAGCTCCTGTAACCTCTTCCCAGCCCTCGCACCCTGCTCACTCCTTCAGTATGCAGCACTATCTGCTTCATCTCTGTTGCCTACACAGGACTTTGGGCTCCAGTCTGGCTTCCAGTTCATGGTGGTTTCTCCACACCCTGTCCTGGGGGCTGTCCACAGATCCTCCTGGAGTGACTTACTGGGTCCTCAGGTCCACGTGCCATGGTGTGGCACCTACTCTAGCTGTAGACCCCTGCACTTGTGAAGCCTGAAGGAAGTCCACAGCCTCTACTCGGTCCAGTTGTTAAGATTCCTTCTGCTGCCCATCTACAAAATTCTCCTGGACTTGGAATCTCGGCCGCCTATGATCCTCATGATCTCCTAGCTGATACTGCGTATACATATCACAGCACCCAGAGAGAAGGATATTTGTATGTTATATGGCAGATGCTGCAGCTTGAAGCCAGAAGCAACCAACTAGGGCTTTGGCAGCTTCCAGGGTTAAGCAGATCAATATCTTGGCATAAATAATGCCCATATTTAACACACTGGTTGGGGTGGTCTACCCCCAGGCTTGACATCTCAACTGGAATCACTCATTCATGCTGTCCATAAATATTTACTGGATGAGCTAAGCCCCAAGAAGCAGTGTTACTAGCGAACACTACAGCAGAGCTAACCATGTACCAGGTAAATTACATGTATTAGCAGCGATCCTGTATTTCACACCCTTACTTTCCCTATGTCACAGTTAAGCTCCAACCCATAAAGTAACTTGCTTAACATGGCACAGCTAGTGTGAGAGGAGGATCTGAACCCAGGCCGTCTGATCTACAGTGTGATATCAAGTTCTCTAGTATGCTGCCAAGTACAGAGATCCTTGAATGAGGGGTTTATGGATCCTCAGGCCACTCTAAAGTACTTTTTTGCTATGTGAGCCTACGTGTTTTTCTGAAGAGAGGGGAGTCCAATGCTGTCATAGTCTCACAGGGATCAAAGGGAAACAGCTACTGTTATTGGTGGGAATTCTGACATCTGACCCAACTTCTCTGGGCCAGTAAGATCCTGAAAGTAGCCCCAGTCTTGCCCAGATTCCTGATAATCCCCAGTGGTCTGTATTTCACAAAAACTTGGTCCTGACTTTTTTGGTTTGCTCCATGACCCGCACTCCTTTTTTCTTTTTTGGCAGTGCTAGGAATTGAACACAGGGCTTTGCAAATGCTAGGCAAGCACTCCACCACTTGAGCTATGCCCTAGTCCTTTTGTCTTTATTTTGTTTATGAGACAGGGTCTCAATAACTTTGCCTGGTTGGCCTCAAACTTGTGATCCTCCTGCCTCTGCCTCTTGAATAGCTAGGAATACAGATATGTACCCTCATACCTGGCTCAACCTTTAGATTTCATTGTGCTAACTGGGAGATTTTTAACTCAGGGCCTTGCACTTGCTAGGTGGGAATTCTACCACTTGAGTCATGCCTCCAGCCCTTTTGGCTTTAGTTTTTTTTTTTTTGTTTTTTCCTTTCTAGTTATTTTTCTAATAGAGTCTCCAGGTTTTGCCCAGGGCTAGCCTAAACTGCAATCTTTTCTAATTACACCTTCCACGTGGCTGGGATGACAGGTGTGAATTACCACACCTAGTTTATTTTTTGAGATGGGGTCTTGCTAACTTTTTGGCCAGGATGGCCTCAAACCATTATCCTCCCAAGTAGCTGGGATTATAGGCCACAGCCACCACAAAGAGAAATTCTTTTTTAATCTGTTTTAGTGTAACCACACTATGTTAAGTAAAAACATGTAGGAGAGAGCCAAGTAAAGAGAAAGCAGACTAAGTTGAAAAGGCATCGCAAATGACCTCAAGCCTTTATGGCTGGGCCCAGTGGCTCCTGCAGCAGTGGTGGGTTTAAGTTAGCATGTCTATACACTGCTGGAACTTTGCATGGAAAATCAGTGATGTGATTCAGAGTATGTGCTCTGAGCTGGCCACTGGTGGCTCATGCCTGTCATCCTAGGTACTTGGGAGGCTGAGATTAAAAGGATCAAGGTTTGAGGCCAACCTGGGCAAGCAGTTTACAAGACCCCATCTCCAAAATAACCAGAGCAAAATGGGCTCTGAAGTCATAAAGCCTAGGTTCTAATCTTGCAGGCTGTATCTTTTAGAAGCTGTGTAGCCTTGGACAAGCAAATGAACCTCTCTGAACCTCAGCTGCCACAGATGGGCAAAATAGTGTCACCTGCTTCCCAGGTGGCTGAATTAAATGAGGTCACAACATGTTGATATTTAGCACAGTGCCGGCACACTGGAAGTACTCTAGAAATACTGGTGCTGAGGGGAAGAGAAAGAAGATATGAGCTTAGCTCATTCCCTTACAAAGGAGCTGATGTTGAAGCAATGTGTATTTCTAAAACTGCAGCCTGGAGGGGTGGCAACAGTCCTAGAGTAGGGGTCTGCAGAACTGACTTATCTTGATTTGTCTTATGCGTGCTTATCTGTAAAGGAAATACTAGCCCAGGTGACCCTACGATCCTTTCCACTGCTCGTGCTAACTGTATTTATCACATATGCACCTGCCACTGTTCAGACCACTTTACCTGCACTAACTCCTTTAATTTTAAAAATAAGCATATAAGGAGGTATGTGCATGATCCCCACATACAGATGAAGCTTAAAGTATAGTAATCTGTCTAAGGTTCCAAAGCCACCAAGTGCTAAAAAAGCCAGGATTCAAAGCCAGGGTGGCTGGCCTGAATCTGTACCTCTTCATAGCTGGCATACTCTTCCTTCTGCTAATCCCTGTGACCGACACACTGTCACCACTCAAAACACTGAACACGTGTGGATTAACTTCTCTCCCACCATGACTTGACCCCACTCCTTCTTGGTCTCCTTCAATGGAATGAAGGAAACACTGGTAGCACATTTTCAAAAGAAACACTTCTTAGCTCAAAGACAAGTCTCTGGCTCCTCTGCCCATCACAAATCCAGGCTAAATAGCCCTAATTGCTTTTCCTCCTTAAGCTTCATGGTATGAACCTTTAAAAACAGTTAACTGTTGCTCTCTAACCTCTGACCTCCCCAATCTCTGAGTGCCTTCCAACAGAGCCTGGCTGCAGGGCTGACAAGGATATTTTATGGTTGCCAGACAAGTGTCCTCATTTTTTCTTTCTTTTTTTTTTTTTTTGGGATCTGGCTATGTAGTCCAGATTGTTCTCAAACTTGCGATCCTCATGCATAGCTGGATTATAGGCATGTGCCGCCAAGTCTTGGTCTAATGGGCCACAGAATTTGGGTTAGATGTCAGAAATCTTCCCTTGACTGGTAGCTGTTTATGTTTTACCTTTAATCCCTGTAAAACACTGACTCCCTTTCTGTTCTTTAAATGATAGTTTACTCTGAATCCTTTTGTGCTGACACCAACTAATGATAGTGACTTGAGCAGAGCCAAAGAAAGGCTTGTTGTAGCCTTGGGAAGGCTTTCTGAGCAGTTCTTTCCTGTACTGGACATTTCAAACTCATAACTCCTTTGGCCCTCTGAGAAAGGCAGATGGGGAGTGGGGGTAGCTGCTGTTTTCTCCTTAGAGGTATGTTTTACCAGCCACTGACCAGAGCTGGGTAGAGGGGAGAGATAGCCTGTGAGGGAAGGGGAAAGTGGGATCAGAGTGATGACAAAAGATTGGACCAAGAAGGAGCACGCCTGACTTTTCTAGAACAAGCAGCAAGCCCAGCTGTTTTACTTTTAAAAATGAACTTTTTTGGTTCTAATGCAAAAAATAAC